TAAAAACACACAAAAAATTCAAATTAAATGACAGCAAACACCATTAACTGCGCCGCACAGTGGAAGAGCCGCATATAAAATGTAACAAAAAGTAGTAGATGTGCTCCGATTTTCCTAAAAATTTTAAACGGGACTACTTTTGCCTAGGAATGAATAAATATGAAAAATGGTAGACTGCCACGCCCGCTACTTTAGGGGGCGGTAATGGTAAATGTCAGCGCAGTTCAATTAAATTCTGAATTCTTCTATTCATACAGAATCGACTTCCTGTGTCCTTTGATAATTGCTAGAGTAGGTTTTCTCTGGAAAAAATCCTTTAAACCTGTTAGTAGACATGTTTGAAATCGAGTAAACCACTTATTCAGATATTTCCACTCATTATTAGAAAATTGGGACTTTCTGCCACTCTCAGACCACTGTGCGCCGCCCCATTGGCGAACGAAAGCAAAAGTGACAAATGCGAAAGTCAACGCTGAATTATTTAGTAAAGTTTAGGCCAGCATGCGCCACTTTGCTTTTCGTAGTCAAATGCTGCGAGTCATTTCTTTCTTCCACTACTCTTTCGCTTGTTATGCTGCGGCTAAAGCAATTCAAATTTCTCACACTTTATTTGTTTATTCATTGAAAAAGTAGCGTTTTCTGTGGCACCTGTTTCTTTGCGCTTTTATTACTCATTCTTTCCTTTTTATGATCAGCTATTTCTGTAGCTCAAACGTTTAGCTGAAAAATGTATGGCTTGTAATGTTGGCTCAAAGTTTTGCCAACGTTTTACCAGACAAGTTTTAAGTGGATGTCAGCATCTTACTGTCAGATGTTAATCGCCAGGCGGTTATTTTTTGTACGGAATTATTAATTGCTTTCTTGCTTTTATTGGCGATTGATTGAAATTTATCACTGAAAGCAAAAATTCTTACACTTTCGCTTTCCTTTTTGAGTTGGATGGAGATTGTACGAACGTGTGAAAGTAAAAACTGGAACTTTAAGACTGATTTAGAATTTTTTGTCATTCATAAAGTGGACATCAATTTTTGCTCATTTAATGCGCAGCCATAAATTTTTTCTCATTTATAAAATACGCACAATTTTTGATTTTGTTTACAAAAAAAACTGAGCAAAAATTATTTTTATTATAGTAGCTGACCATAATTTTTTGGGTAGCTTACGAATGGTACATACATTTTTGCCCATTTATAACTGGACATACGTTTGAAGTAATTGAAAAAAACTGTGTAATTTTTAGTAATTTAAAATTTGTTTGGTAAATTAAAAACTGGGCATAAATTTTTGGTCATCTAAGAACCGGGCATACATTTTTAGTCTCTGTAAAATTGGACATATCTTATGGTCATAAAAAGTGTTTGGACATTTCAAAACTTGGCATGTATTTTGGGTAATTCAAACACTGGGAATACAATGCGTAAAGTCGCTAAAAAAATCGACATACATTTTTTGTCATTTCATTTGACTGATGAGTTTAGTCATTTGAGGTCGCACATTAATTTTCGATAGTTTAAAGCAATTTTTGATGGTATAAAATTCGTACATATGTAAGTACGTACAAATCTTTGGTCATACATTTTTGGCAATTAAAAACTGGGCATACATTTTCGCTAATTTAACAAATGTTTGGAAGTTCAAAAAAATAGACACACATATTTGGTTAAATTACCATAAAATGGGACACAAATATTTGCTTATTCAAAAAACTGCGGACAGAAGATTTATGGCGGAATGTGAAAACCAGCTGACTTTTTCAATAAGTACTTTTCAGATTGGCTAGCCACCCTGAACTCGCCGAACATTCCAAATTTTTTATGTTTTATAAAACGCACTTGGTGGTTCAATTTTTAAGACAGGAAAGGGAACAACTGGCTCTTGCATGGTTGCAGTCAATCTAACCTAACCTAGCCTAAAATGTGAAAATAAACACGTGGATAGAATTGACTTCGTTCAAAATCTCATTTCTTACTGCTTTATTTTCCATGTCCACTTATTCTCAAAGATTGCTCTTTGTAGTCAAAACTTCATATTCAATTTTGAGAGACATATGACTTTGCAGAGTCAATTTCGAAGTGACCATAATTTTGTTGCTAGCTTTTAAGCGACCATAAATTGATTTGCTGTTTTAGAATAAAAAAAATTATGTCCAGACTGTAATTATGTCCAGACTGTAATTGTGTCTTGTTCTAAAATAACCAAATCAGTTTGCCCATTTTTTTTAATTTATGTCTAGTTTTTCAATTACCGAAAAATTGTTTAAATTTAAATGTGCATAAAAAACATTTCCAAAAATATGTATATTTACAGTTTTTGAGTGCCAGAAAATATATGTCCAACTCGTAAGTAACTCAAAAATTATGTCGAGTTTTTAAAACTTTTGTCCGAATTCGAAATTATACAACAACCTATCTAATTTTTAATGAATTTTACGTCCAATTTTTAAGCCAACCAAATGTTTTGTCTAGTTTTTAAGAGTACCTAAACTGAACATTTTAAGTTATCAAAATTGTATGCCTAGTTTGTAAATTACCAAAAATTTATGTCCAGTTTTGAGGTGACCAAAAATTTATCTCCAATTTTTTAGCAACCTAGAAAACTATGTCCAGTTTTTCAGACGCCAAATTTCTGTGCCTAAATTAAAAAGAAAGAAACAAATGATGTGCAGTTTTTAATTACCAAAAGTTTATATCCAGTTTTTAAGGGCCGTTTGCACCACACTAACACACTACCTGGAGGTACATCCTTCAATTCAGCACATCGACTACTTTATCGATCACATGTTATATGCTTGGTGTCGATAACGATGTTTAACTGGAAGTTAGAATTAACCAGAAATAGTGCAAACGGCCCTAAGATAACCAGAATTTTGGCTAGTTTTTATTATCAGTTTGTAAATTTGAAAAATTATGTGAACGACAATTCTTTTATATTTCCAATTTCCGAAATTGTTCACTAAACATAATTTCAAAATTTTAATAATAAATAAATGTTTAGGTTTTTTTCATTACATGCAGTAAAACTCCCTACAGCAAAATTATAAATTAGTATTTTCCATTTTCTATTTTCCACCTTTTTCAATCAATGTTCCGCGCAAAAACTACGACTTAGCTATTACATATGCCAGATGAGGTTTGTCGCTGGAGTCTTTTGTTTGCAAGCAAATTTTCTTTGTTGTTGCAACCTTTAATACATGTTTTACAAAAAATTTTTCTACTGTTTATCACTGTCGTAGGTATTTTTTTAAGCGCATCAGTGCATGACATAAGCATGGCCGTTGTTCTCATGTGATGATAGGTGCAGTAGTCAAAATACAAAAATAAATTAAATTATCTTTTACTTATCCTCAATGCATACAAGTAAGAGGTCATACATGGTGAAAAAGTATAATTCTCACACAAAGATTATAGTGCGCGGTGAGAAATCATATCCTTCACGTATTCACTACAAACATATCGCACTATATAATATTTAGACTATGTACATATTTAGGCGTGTCGAATCTGATCTTGCCACTAATTCACAGTGTTAAGTGCTTACTTATCCATTAGGTGGTTTGCATTATATGGCTTTACGATTAGAGCACATCGGGGGACTTTCTGTGGCAAAGGAGTCTCCATATACAAATGTTATTAATTTGTCCTTATTTCCGATAACCTATAAGTCTCATCGAAAAATAAGGAAGTGGCCAAGGGGAAATTATGAATGCTCTCTGTGAATGCTAGGGGGAAGCACATTCGTCTAACCGAGGTTAATCTATATGTTCGATAATTTCACCTCCATTATCTCCACTAAGCTATTGAAAAAGCGTGATCCCAAATGCTTGCGACGACTTGTCTGGAGAGCTGGGTGTCAAAGAATATAGTGACGATCCCTGACCGATACTTACTATCCCGTATGAGACAAGCTGCATTCTCTATGACAAATATCTCCGCCTGAAAAACATTGAAGTTATCTAGCGGGTTGTATGGTAGCCTCATGTGGAGGTCCTTGGACTACAGACCAGAGTCGACTCCTTTCTCCATCTTTGAGCCATCGGTGTAAACGATCGACCATGATGAGAAGGCTTTGGGAGCTTTCGAGAGAAAGCCAGATCTGTTTTCGTCGACGACGGACATAGTTAAGTGCATACAAATACAGCGATTGCGCTGCCTTGGACATGTTGTACGCATGGATGCCGGCGCTCTGGTGAAAATATCTTTCGATTCCGCATCCATGTGTGGACAACGAAAACAAGGGCGTCCAAGAACGCAATGGAAGGATCAAGTGCAGAAGCACATTTCTGGCGCAAATTACGCAAATTTGCACAGAAGAGAGGCAATTGGAGAAGCTTTGTGATCTTACGGGTCCCAAAGTCAGTGCATAAGCCATTTCTGGGATATTTTTTTAAGATGCACATATATACATATAGCGAATCGCTTGCTATAAGCAACAGACTCCTGCTTGTAGCTGAATCTAAAGCTTAAAATATGACGCTGATTTTACTGAGCCCTTAAACCGAATAAGCCTTCTCTCTTTCTACTGGAGATTCTCTCACATCGGCCACCCAATGTTGACTTTTCGATTTTTTATATTTCATTTACCGATTTTGATAGTTAACATGGTGTGCAATGTTGACATCAAAGATTTTACGCAAATTTTATTTTTTTGACGAGTAATTTGCAAACAAATGTTTATGCAGGCTTTTACACTTTTTGCAATATTTCAGCAACCATTCATTCGAATCTTATGATTTTTTGACAGAAATTAGAGAACTTATTGGGTTGCTCACATTTGCCCATAGTGGGTGAACGGGTACGCAAGATTCGATATTGAGTATAGTGGTGCAACTGTAACTGCATACCCACCAGAACGACAATAAGGAGAGTAAAGACTTTGGTTGGGAAGAAAATTATTGAAAAGCTGAAGAGTTTGTTAAAAATCCAAGGCGGAACATCGAGAGCACCAAATAAACTCCTGGACTTATTTATTTATTCAGTTTTACTCGAGTGCATTTCATTTTACTCGATACCTTTTCCCACAGACTGCTTTAGCTAAATCATAAATATACATAGCAGTATATGTGTAACAATTGTTTCCCCCAATTGAATATGCAATTCTCATTTTTTTTTCTACGCAATCTAATAGTTTTCCCATTACCATTATCTTCCCTTTTAACGGGACTTATGCATTTAACAACAATTATCTACTATTGATTACTGGTAACTTACCGCTTGAGAAATTTACTCCAGTTTCCTGCTGATTTTCTGTTTTTTGTTGTTGTTGTTTTTATCTGCTGCTATACGCTTGGCGTCGGCTTA